TTAGTGGACTACTACTGCAGGGAGGTATAATAAACGATCAAAGGGAATCAAATTTAAAGTTATAAGCGTATCCGTATAATTTCACTTTTATTTTTTGTATGACTTTACTTTATTTAACATTTACAACTAATTTAATTTTGAAAACTCTAAAATAAAGCGTATTGCTATCATAAAATTGAATACTAAGTTTTCAAGACGTCATTAAATTAAGATACCCCGAGAAATGAATCAAGATTAACGGTGCGGAATGATTGTTTGATGTGTAGAGGGCTACACWTAAAAATCATTTTAATAAAACAATTAATTTTTACGAATATTTAAAAATGTGGTGACTCAGGTAGACTGGTAAGTCTAGTTGTAACAGACTGTGTCACAACGTGCACAGTCGGCGGTGGTGGCAGTGGTAACTGCTTTAGCCACGTGTGTACACAAACAAAACGCAGTGTTTAGGTTAATGGAATGCAAATAGTGTAAACCAAGATGCCACGGAGATTTGTTTAAGGTCCTCTGGTCCTCACCCCCGACACTTGTCCCACCACCCCAACTTCGTCATCGTTATATTCCCGCGTAGGTATTCTTGCGCTTGAAAACTCACTCATTTTCGTGTAAACTTTTTGCTCTCGCCCTCTATCCCGTCCACCCTACAACCCCCTCTACCAGACCCTAARCCCACCACCCATAAACCCACTCTCTAGTGATAGTAGCCACCACACATGTATAGGTGTTTATATATAGTTAGATAGATATATATGCACTTGATTTCAGCCACCGACACGAGAACATTTCCCAGGGAGCTTATTAGCGCGCGTTACAGCAACAAACGTTGTCTTTGTCACCACGTCAACGCGACCAACTTCTATGTACACACCTGCAAACGCTCAACTCCTCCACCACGCCATCCAAGACTGCCAATGTTCCCCACGGATAGGTTGTTATTAAACATTTTAGGTTTTACGCGCGCATTTAAGCCATATTATACACTAAGATATTTCACGGAATTTTCTTATTCCGTCGACGTAAGTGCTCATCATTATCATTATCATTATTATTAATTTTATCGTCATCATCATTATTATCGTTATTATGATTAATAATATTACTAYTATTATATTATAAATATGGAATAGACATACGACGGATAATACGATTCCCGTGTACAATAATGCCGTGTGTAGATAAAAAAACACGTTTAAAAAACATTTTACTGGAATATAAAAGCACTTTCCCCACTCGATATTATATTCAGTCGTACAGATATTAATTTTTTTTTATCGTCTAGTGAAAGGATTATCAGCAGTTTATCCTATAGGTACCATAACGATTATTATTAAACATTTTTTATTTTTTAACCGTTTTATATACAAAACATATCCATTAAATACAACAAATTATTCTCAGAATATTAATAATTCTGGGTAATAATATATATTATATTTGTATATTTACGTATACAGAAGGTCCTTAATGAAACGTTTAAAAGAAGTTTTCGTTATCAACTGAATTATATCAGTGTGTGTGTGTGTGTGTATGTGTGTCTCTCTCTCTCTCTCTTCCTTAACTTATTTCACTTATACTCATATGGCTTCAAGAATTTGAGGCACCCAATGTCTTAATATAATGAGTTGTCAAGAAACCTTTTGATTTCGTTATAGATATATGATATTGCAACGTGGTCGAGGGACCTTGTTACGATATTAGTTATCCAGGGAAGGTTTTCTATTCCTTATGGATAAGTTTTCCATAGCTGGGGGTTAGAGCACTGTGCATGAGGTATTTTATCAACAATAAGACACGTTTGGTTTATAGATCCAAATTAATTATTATATTAAAAATAATACTTTACTAATGTAGATGGCTGTTATTAAGGTGTATTGGTGAGTTCGCTCCTGTTGATGGTGACTGTCGAACTAACTGCTGTGTTTCATTTTAATAATAATTAATAAGTAATTATTTGCATGGGTAGAAAATTGTTGAGTGTGTATGTATTGGTCAATTATATAGTGTGTGTTAAGTGTGGGTATAATAAAAATATAAGGTGTAACAAATGTTACAATATATTCAAATAGATGAATTAATTCTGTAGTTGAAGTAGTATACTGCGATAATAGTACGAAAGGCAATATTTTTACAATTTAGAATGACATCGATGTTTGATTTGCTGGCACAAGCCCACAATAGTATGCCATGATTCCAAATCAATTTGATTATAGCTACAAAAAAAATTATTGTTATCAATAATAAATTAGGTTTATGTTTTCATTATTTCAATGAATAATTTTTGTATTATTTGCCTATTCATATTCACATACAATTTTTGAATATATGGAAATTTAATTTATTATTATTTAATTTTAACTTTAAAAAAATACGATATTTTCTTTCTTTAATCATCTTTTACAATTTGATGTACAAAGGGTTTCTTCTGTATACGTAAAATATGGTGAGATTATTGTCTAAAATTACTTTCTGACTTTGCCCACCATAATTTTTGATCATAAACCTACTTCTTGCAAAGATAACTAGATTTCACTCTAAAGTAAATGAAGTATCTTACATAATATGTGTTTAGTATTCAAAATTACTAACGAGATATTATAGAACAATGTGGAAAACTTGGTTAACGATTTACCTTTTGATGTTGGACATGGCACAACGTATACAAATATAATACTATTTATTTTTGTTTATAATTATTAAACTTTTTTGAATCTAAAAAGAAACAATCCCTAAAATTCTTCTTAGTAATTACTTCTCTGTAAAAATGTTATCAAAACGATCCAGTGATAAACCAAACATATAACATTACACATTCTACACATAATCTTACGCACTTAACATGTACAAGAATACAATTTTATACACGATTTGATATGACTGTAAAGTAACTGTTTAATATTAGTTAATTTTTACCTAGTATGAAATAGATTTGAAAAATTGTTAGTATGTACCAAAAGTCATAAAACTTCTTATATTTGATAAAAAATATCAGCGGGTTCAAATACTATTTTCTTGTTTATTATTATTACTAGCGTTAGTGCACATCAGAAAAAGTGAACCTTACTACGTCGGGTGTGTACCCTTTAGTTTGGACTTTGGATTATATCAAAACATTTATAGTATATTATATAAGTGTTAGGCCGATCCAAAAGTTTTGTCGTCTTTATAAGTGATAGTTGATGGACGATAGTTGATCGTTGGGAATCCAATAGGTAATCCTTACTGCTTGACTATATACTCTCTTGACAAAATATTTTTGTACACATGAAAGGTCAACGTGCTAGAATTTTTCAAACATCAAACCCGTATGGTTTGTATTAAATTACTTTTGATGGTAAAAACTCTACTACGGTATTGTTTTTAATATCTTTAATTATCAAACCACCGCTTGATTAAAGATATAGAAGTTTATCTATGGGATATGTTTTAAGTTATTAATTAAAATACTAATATATTTTAAGGCCCATAAAAATGATAAACATATATTTAAGCAAAGGTATACTACAATTTCTTGGCCTCACCCTGTAATTTTATACACACAATAAATATTATTTATTGAAAAAATCTTATAACATTTCAACTAAACAGGTACCACCTTGTTTTTATCCAACAAAACATTCATTTATACAATTTCTTTTTTTATTAACAGGATTATTTGTTGCTGAAAGTCGTAAAATTATTAGGAAAACAAATATAGGCAACTGTTGATAATTCATTGATAATTTTGTCAATATTTATTTGTTATAAATATTTTAATATTAATGAAATTATAACTTTTATATTTATTTTAAACATAAACATTTTTWTATGCTTAATTATTTATTGTGAAATATAATATAAAAATATGACTTAAACAATATGTTTTTTTTTTATTCATTTTATTTGTATTACATAAACATTATTCATATTCATAATTCCTTACYAGAAAAARATGGACAGCGAATAATAACGATATTTCATTTTTTTAAGAAATGGCTAGGTCTCATTCCTATAATATTATTATCGTTGTTTATTACAACTTCTATGAGAAATATTCGAAGCTTTAGGATTTATAATTCAAAATTTGACAGCATATTTTTACAATGCTCATCCAAACTGTTGTATATTCTTGAATGTTTAAAAATATATATATTAAGATACCAATATAGCACTAAGATGTATTCACATAGAGAACCACTGAACTAATACAATAAACAAAGAAATATGCATTGGAAATAAAATGCCACAATCAGAAAAAAATCAATTTAATGAATACTAATTTATGAAAAATATTTCAAATAAGTTTTTATCAGTGACATGATTGAAGAACATAAAATAATTCAAAAAATATAAAATAAATATGACAACATTGGAAAAATAAATTTAATAACAATTTAACCTACTCATAATAGTAATGACTAATGACTAATGATGTTACAGACAGTTCTAAATTTGTGCAAAAATTAAAAAGGACAATTAAGCTATAGTAATATGAAATGATATAGCCCATAGCCATAGGTAAGTAACTATAAAAAAAAATTACATTAAATATTATAGTTTTTAGCGCGAAGCACAAGAAGTAGCCACACATGGCTTCATTAGGATATAGTAAATGTTGTACTTAAGTCTTTGTATGATAAATTATCTACGTGAAGATATGTTTCTTTGTAATTGACACTCTAAAAGTTTTATTTGATAATACACACATTACAATAATCGAAGAATATAATCTCCTATAAAAACAATTTTATGCGGGTAATAAAACGATTTTATTCGCATGATACAAAAAAACGATGAACTTAATGAAATAAAAGCAAGACTCCAATCCGGTTAAAAGTGAAATGTCACTTATTGAATGGGAAACATAATGGTGAAAAAAACTTAATCTGGTCAACATTTTTTCAAGAGAACTTTCATTGTCATATTTAACTCTAAATGGTTCAAAAATAGCTTTATTCAATAAATATATTCTATGGTTACCTTTCAGTGATAAATCACTAATGAAGACAGCCGGTCATGCGTAAAAAAATTATTATCATACGGAGCTCACTAAGCATTCGCACAATAAAACTAATCAATCAGCCTCCAATTCATTCCCAAAACCTCATGGCTTATTTCCAATGACGAATACTTCATTCAAACTTCCTGCACATGAAAACAATTAACGAAACTGTCCCACAATATTCTGCAAATGGTTCCATTCAAAACTCAACAATCAGTCAAACAAACTCATCGTAAGACTCGTGTTCCATTTATCGACCTTATCACGGACCAATCAGAAAAACTAGGCTTGAAAAAATCCAAATGGCCTAGTTATCATACCGGTAAGTATAATCATTATTGGCTGTTTCAAATAAAGACAACTCAAGAGCTCTACCGCAGGTTATTCTGTTTCTTTTTCTTTTAAACTGTATTGATTCTTTTCGCAATCTGATTTRCCCATGGTTCTGTATTGTAAATCTATATTAAGGTTTAACATTTTATAACAAAAAAAAAAAATGCACTTAATACTTTAATAGCATGTTTATTATCRCGTATTTTGATTAAGTTTAACATCTGATAAACGTATATAAATGTATAATAATAATCAACAGAACATGGAATGGTGTTTAATACATAATTAATAAATTATTTACTGTGTCTAACGATAAAAAAATAGGTGATTTCAAATATTTGCATATAATATGTATACGAACATTATATTGCTTCAACGTAATGCTTCCACATAATACATTTTATCGGAAAGCTTTGACTGTTTCTAAGGATTTATCAAAACGGTATTTTTTATAGTTCTTTATAGTTACACTCAATAGGATACTATTAATGGCGTAAAATCAAAATAATATTAAATAACACGTGTATCAAGATTATTGGTAATTAAATAGAAACACAATTGAAAAAATGAAACAATTATTTTAAGGAATTTGTATGTAAAAATGTAATGATGAAATGTTTATAATGTAATATGCATTTTTACTCTATATAATCCTACTTAATACGATTTACTTACCTATATATAGTGAGTTACCTTGATTTCATCATAGCATTAGTATTCACGTTACACGATAACGTTTATGCATAAGATTCCTTATAAGAGGTTTGGCATTAAAATTCTGAATCACAGTTCTTTTTTTATTTCTAACTAGTTGAAGAATTTAAACTGACAAATACTATTTATATATCTTTATCTATTTTTATTTCATAATGATGAGTAAGTACAATTTTAATAATATTTATTGAATATTTCTTAAAATATGTTTAATAATATATAAATAATACTAATCAGTATTTGTTTTTATTCAATCTTTATTCATTTATTATCAACCTTAATTTAATACGATTTTTAACAAAAATTGAATTCATCTAACAATTTTGTATCATCTGATTTTATTTTATTCTAATACATGTGATTTAATATTTATACTACCATACAGTGGTACTCGAAATTGTTTTTAAAAAGAAATTCAGATAGTTTAATCGTACATATACKATATACGTATATTAGTTTTTTCTGGACGCTAATTACAGTATAACACTATAACGTAATAATCGATCATTGCATGACAGCAGATATTTATAAAAGTTGTGGAGGTGCATATATTTATTGACATAATTTYCTTGCATTAATTAGATGAAAAAATTTAATTTCTATATGCGTATTATTTTCTGTTAACAGAAGTGAATGCAAAAGTTTTATTTACACTTATATTGGTCGTCAATACGTTGGCGTCTGGATTTGTTATTAGACCATATGAAAACATCGATTATGAGGTACCGGATGATATTCCTGAAAGTGATGAATCGTTAGACCTGGATGAAGAGGACACGGACACAAACTACGAAGATCTGCCCAAGACCTTGTCAACGACTGTTTCAAAAGTTACAAATATTACACCTTCTACCACAACCATCGTCTATGATTCAGATGAGAGCTATGACGATGATTATGTTAGTCGACCTCAACATATTATGATTATTCACGATCACATTAACCACTAATAATATTTAATATTATTTATGTTATTTTATGCACATGTATATTGTATATCCAAAACAGAGAATGTGTATTTAATTGGCACATGTTTTATGATGATGATAATTATTTATATTATTATTTAATAGTTATATTCAATGTTGATAACTATACAAATTATAATAAATTATGATATCAACAACAATTCAATATTCATAATTGTTATATCTTTTACTACTACTATTATGATTATTCAATATTATCCATAAAGAAATTGAATTAAATATTTTAAAAAAAGATCAAAAAGAATAAACACATATTATTTATTATGTTTAATTACTATTTAATAATATTTATTTTATGTTAAAGTGATAAAAATAATTATAGTATTTTTTAAATTTTTTTTTTTATTAATTGTTTGAGGCATCAACTGCATGGTTATTAGCCGGCGTTACATATTTAATTTACATTAATTTCTTATATACTTTCTTAATTTCTACTTATTACCTATATTTACAGATTTACATTTTAATCTAAGTTAGAATATTCAAATCAGTTGGCGTAGTTCTGTTGAGTTGACACGAAAGTGAGGAGTTTTTTGGTCGTCTCGGGAGGTTATAAATAAAAACTGTTACAGAGTAAAAATTATATCATTTTAAGGGGTCCATGATTTGAGCATAGGTTTTATGGTAACCTTATTATATRCAAAGAAGATCTTACCTAAAGCACAGCCTCAATAGAGGACAATAAAATTATTAACCGTTAACACGGTTCAGTTGTTGAATAGCTACAAGTTGTCAGAAATCATAACAATTTCCCTGAGTTGCTCCATTAATCACTAGTAAATCACTAAAACAATTCAAAACAGCCGACAAGTAAACACTAAAATTCATTAAATAAATTGATATTGATGATAATTGAATAATATATTGTAACGACACCAATCAGGTAAATCAAATTATATAAGTAAACAATTATCAGCCTCTATGCAACAAGCACTTGGCGAAGATAACTCCAAAAACATATACAATTTTTTCAAAAATATAGGCTTAGCAAAATTAATTTAGAAAAATAATTGAATATACATATACTCTACAAAACCCCTCTATTGTTAAACATAATGTGTCCCCATTTAAGATCAATACTCTATGACTATTATTTTGTATTTTGTATTTACTGCAGGCTAATAACCTCAGGAGTTGAAGCCTTATTTAAATAAAAAAAAAATAAAAAAATTATCAGCCAATGGCACAGATGGTCAGATGCCGGGCTTATATTAACAAAAGTAAAAAATTAATTGATAAATCTTAAAGGATAAAACAAAATAGTTTGGTATATTGMTATACCAATTATTACCATACACACTAACTTTTGAGTATGTACACGCTTGTGTGAGTATATAAAAAGCACTAAGTATTCWTTATAATATAACGAATATACTTTAAAAGGGATTTTATAATTATTATAATAAAACCGTGTTCGTCAAAAGGGTTTTATGCCGTTACTTACCTATACTCATTTAAGAACATATTATTTAAATAGTAGTATTATATGATAATTATACGGTCAACAATCTTCGATTGATATAACATTATTATTCATAGTCGTTATCAGCGTGATAATGTGTGATTTACGCATCATACTCTTCAATGTGCATGTTAAATATTCTATATTATATTGATTTAACAAATTTACTTATATTACTTATATTATACATATTATAAATTGACTTGTTTAAATATAATAAAAATAAATAAATAATTGAGTTATACAAAATAGCAGGTTAGCATCCTTGGACTTAAGAGTACCTTCTACCTATCATAATATAATAAGTGGTTTCAAGAGTGTTTTTTGCACAAAAGCAAACGTTCCAAGTATCTTATGATTTCTAATTTTTAAAATATTATTATTATCTAATATAAGCTTATAAAACATAGAGGAAAAAATACATTATTCTAGAAGTTTGAAGTTTAAGGGTAAAAAATAGCGAATAATATCGCTAGCTAACAGTTTATATTTTATTTTCACAGGGTTTTCCGACATTACCGTACTCGACGTTCGTCTTACATTTTTATTTGATCAGAAGGTGACACAGTGCGCCACTCTACCCCGACACTGCGTCACCAGGAAAGGATATTACYTTAGTTAATTTCAGTTCGAAATTTTATATTTTTTGAATAACACTCCATGCGTACACTTTTAAAAGTAATATATAATGTTATGTTAGTATTTTTCCTCTTTTTACACTTTCAGAAAAGTGACTACTAAAAATTAAACTGTTTTTAATAACATGGTTATTATTGAAATACGTACAAAGATAACGCAATATATAATTAACCTTTATATTATAATTATGTAAGTAATAGATATTATATTATAAAATACACAACAAAATTTTGTTTAAAAATTGGYTTTTTTTATACCTCAATAGTTATTATACTATTAAATCAAGTGTAGATTTTAAAAATGGACTAWGTTTTTTTTGTAAATTGATTGTTATACATATGTTGTACTTAGTATAATTTTATGCTGATCGRTGGATATTAATGTGCCTACTCAACGTTTATTGCTTAATCTCATCTTCATAAGTAGGTACTTSATAAAAATGTATTATCGTTGAACGTCCTTCTTTATTATCCAATATTGGTTTAATACGCTGTGCGCCTGTTCACTGTGGATGACGTGCAATCTTTAGTTCTTAAACAACAATACATTTTTACAAATCGTGCCTCTTAATTTACATCACATTACAATGATGACATATAATTTTATTTTGCCATTTTCAAACTATTGAATGACAAATTTTTTTTCAAATTGTTTTTCGTTTTTTTGATTATTAATAATATAGTGTTATCATTACAWTGTATTCATCTGCGTAACATAATAATCATTAAATATTTGTATGAATAATTCAAAATAACAAAAAAAAAGTCGTTTTGTGAATATATTTTTTTAAATATATTAATATAATTGTTTCAATACATCAAGTATTTTTACAATGTTTTTACAATATTATAAAGTTGATTAATTAAAAAATAAGTTTATGGATAAATTTTAGCTTGATTATGAGTCTGGATAATCTTCTTCTTGAGCTTCAACTGCTTCAAGTAAAATATCTTGTGGTGGCTTTAGTTCGCGGTTTTTGGTTCTTTTCCAATGGTGAAGTAAGGAACACMTTCTCTTGTTTTTAGATTCTAATGAAATTTTGTAAATTGTTCATTTGCCATGTGGTTAGGTATGGTATTCCAGTTTCATTGTRGAGTTGTGTGTTTCACATGTACATTGAGGCTTTAAGAGCTATTCAGAGATATTATTTTTGTATCGTTTGTAATTTTTGTTTGGGATGCGGCTGCTCATATTGGGCATGCATATTAATTAATAGTCTTATTACTGATGTGTAATGAATAGAGAAATGATCATTTAATCTGAAGTGTTGAGCTGTAATTTATTAAGAGGTACCTATAAGATTTTCAATCATRWATAGGCTTAGTTAAATTTTTTATTTATATGCATTTTCCATCTTAATTTTTTCATAAAGGTAAACTCCGAGATATTGAATTGATTATTTATTATTATTTCATAATATAGGCTGATTTTTAATTTTTAATTGAGTCGGGTTTGTAAATCTCTTTATGGTAAATATTTTCGCTTGGTTCTTAATTGGGTTAAGAGCGAGTTTCCATCTTATAAACCAGTCTGAAATTTTTAGATCTATTATTGAATTTTCAAGATTTTTATGTTGTGTTAAGATAACAGTGTCGTCTATGCACATTGCTAATTGACATTTTTGTGGAACAGGGATATCATAGTAAGAAATACAAGGTGGRGCCAAGGACTGACCTCTGTGGGACCCCTGCTTTTATCGGATATTCTTCAGAGGTATCAGTATTCGTACTTAAATGTACGATTTGTGATATTTGTGAATATTAAAGCAAAGTAAATCAATTATAATTCTTAATTAGCATCATACTTTAAAAAAAATTAGATTATTGAATACTGATTATATAGGTACGAATTTTTACTATTTGAAAATATAGAATAATATATTTGTAAGTTTGATTTTTCTTAAATTTTTAAACACGCTGGTAAATTTACAAAATTATTTTTTATATGTTAGTAGAAAAATAACAAGTAATTATGAAAAAAAAACAAATATAATTATTCTGGTATCTGTTATTTAACTATTTATTTAATTATATTTTCAAAATAATATTTATATTGAATTAGTTCTGTGGCTTATACCTACCTTGGTCGGATAATCAAAAAAAAAAAAATTTTATTTCAGGTTTTTTTTTTATTAAATACTTAAACTATTTAAATAAAAATATACGACCTAATCTTTGATAGTGGATCTTTCATTGTTTTTTCTTGAATAAATTAAAAGTAGATATTATTAAAATTATTATACCTACTTGAATGGTAAATACTTTTTTTGTTTTTTTTCACATTATAATCCTGTTTTCTTTGATACATTACATTTCACTACTATTTTAAATTACATATATAATAATATATATAAACATAAAATCTCTGTATGGGTAGGTAACCACCCTTTGATGTTTTCATTGAATATATAATAATTTATAATACATGATACATATATAGTAATCACATAGATTATAGAAATTCTTTTATATTTAATACATTACGTTATAGTCCGTTTGTGTTAAAAATATAATATTAAGATACTTGTTTTTAAAATAATATAATCATAATATTATGGTGCTCCAATCAGGATGCCAATAATTAGATTTATTGATTATAACACTTTGCTCTTAGTTGGAAAATTAATCTAAATAATACRACAGAACTTTAATAATATTTCATAATATTTATAATTTTAGTTAATTTTTGGTCATAATACAATAGTTGTACAGTTTTAATGTTTTTACGTCTATTGGACCAACAGATTATTGGTATCTAAATGTTAGTGATTAAATTATATATATTTTTTATTTAAATCTAACAATTAGTTATTGTATTATAGCAAGATTTTTTTGTGAGTCAGAAAAAGTGTTATAGTGTTACCTGTGTTTTTTAACCCAAATTAAAAACAAACTACAGTATACAAAATTTCAGACATCGAATAATGTAAAAAAACATCCGA